ACAGCAGACAGGCCGACGTCTGTACACGGCCGGCCGGGCGAGAGGCTTGACACGATCCGACCCTGCGACCCTGACGCTGCTGCTCTAGCTATCAGACATGCGCTGCTGGCTGCTGCCACAATGTGCGACCGGTGCTGACCCACTTGGCGGCCTTCCCGGTCAGTGGTGAGGCGCAGTTCAGAGCTGTCGATGGCGCGATGCCGCACTGGTCCCACATCGGTGACACGAGACCACCACGTTTGCCGGTCCAAGAGAGAGGCACCGGCGCTGTCCTGAGAAGGTGCATGGTCCCTCTTGACTGCCCATGCGCGCGAGGCTGTAGGCATAGCCTCGAGAGTGCCAGCAGCCAATCCGAGGCAGTTTGTGACGCGCATTGCGTCAGAAGCGTGCACGCGCTGGAAGGACACCTTCCTACTGGCCGTACGATCAGGTCGTCACTGAATGCCGAAGACTAAGGCCGCGAGCTATGCAGGCGGTCAGTTGAGCAGCATGGCACGGCCAGCAGCGCCGAAAGGATGTCGCAAGGCGTGATAGCATGGCCGCAAGTACGCCGAATTCCCATGAAAACAAGTAAAAAATTGAGCGAAAAATATCAAAAAATCGGCGCCTGCGGCGGGCTGGGGGACCCCATCTCCCCCCCGCATGGGTACCCCCTAGGGCCCTCGCCTCCCCCCAGAGACACACCCACACCCCACACAGAGAGAGTCAGACATGGACACGCTTAATCACGCTTTCCACTTCGAGCCAATTGCTTCGAGCACTTGGAGTGCGGGTCGGTAGCGTCATGTATGTGTGAGTGTTCGGCGTGCCGGACGTCGGCCGGCGCCGCGGCCCGGCCGACTTCCCGGCCGCCGGCGCTCGCGCCTAGGCCGTGCCCCTGCAGTTGCTTTTCGGACGAATATGGCTTTCGCTCGCACTGAAAGCTGACACCCAACCACTACCTCTCCACATATCTACATACTGAGTGAGAAGAACAGTCAGGCTGGGACTGGACACGGCGCGTAACGCCGGAGGAGTTTTTCTCCTCTCACGCCACACGGCGCTTCCCACTCGCGCTAAGTCAAAATCGTGCTGCCCCCTTGATCTCCTGACGCCGTCGCCGATGGAGCTCCTAACGCCGTCGCCGATCTCACTGGCCATTGCTCGCGACGTTACCACCGTCAAAGTGCTCCTGCCGGACGGCCGCACCAGGGTCGACGTTCCTTGCCTCGACCCGGACGCAACACCTGCGGAGCGCAAGCGGGTGGTGCTCGAGCACCTCCGCGGCGAGTTGCGGCTGCCGCTGCCGCCATGGACGGAGGTGCGTTTCGCCCAGAAACCCGGATCCGCCGTGACTCTGCTCGCGGGCGGGCTGCGCGGCGGCGGCGGTCCCGCAATTTTGTTGGAGAAGCGGCTCCCGCAGCTGTGCTGGCTGAAGGTGCTGTGCGGCAAGTGCGGCATCAAAGACGCTGTGCCGATGCTGCAGACAGAGGACTGGCTGTTCTACCAGCGGGTGCTCTGGCTGGAGATAGTGTGCGGCACCCTCGAGACAGACTACTTGCAGCTCCTCCCGTTCAAGGTTCGGTTCAGCGGCGCGGTGAAGGGCGCGGAGTGCGTCACAAAGGTGGCGCAGTGCGCGAAGGTCCACCTGGTGTTCTGCGGCGCGCGCCTCGCGATGGATGAGTTTGCGGACGCCGCGAAGGACGACTGGCTGAAGGGGCACTGGCTGTGCTTCGAGCACTCGCTCGGCCTCAAGGAGTGGAGGGAGCAGCAGGTCTGCTGCGTCAAGTGTGCGCTGCCGTGAGCCGGCGGCCGGCGCTTTTGCATCATCAGACCACACGATAAAGCCGTAGAGCGTAGTTGTTCAGGCCCGGTTTAGACGCGCGCTCGCGCTCGCGCGAGGGGAAGGTCGAGGTGGGAAGAGCGCCTCTGCGCGATTCAGAGGCGGTAGCGGCATTCTTTTTTTTTGTTCTTTTTGCACGACACTTGGCAAAAAGAAAGAAAACACACCAGCCAAGGGAGGCTGGGATGGGAGGACGGCACGCCGCCACCACACAGGGAGGAGTGTGGTGCTAGCCGTCGCCCACCCTAACCCTTGGGCGTCTGCCTCTTTCTATCTCCCTTCACACACACTGCTCACTGGGCACGACACCGGCGCAGCCAAAAGTTTTTTTTACTCTGTATCTCGCGAATACTTGATTTTTCACGCCGTGTAACAATCGTGTTCAAGCGGCCCTCCTGTGAGCTGGTACACCAAGAATGGCTACCCCTGCCAGGGGCCACACTGTGGGCAAGCTGTGATGAGCGTGGTTTGGCTTGTGCAGCCCATACGGACGTGGTATATATACACATATGCGGCCACGTGTCGGCCGGTTCGGGGCACGAATTCCGGATTTTTCCACGGCCTAACAATCGTTGCTGTAGTGGCGCCAATGGCCGCCTCCCGTCGCGCCATTGCACCCTAGCCAGCAGTAGCACCGGGTAC